TGAGCAGGGAGCCCGATGTGGGACTCGATCCCGGGACTCCAGGATCATGACCTGAGCCGAAGGCAGTCGCTTAACCAACTGAGCCACCCAGGCGCCCTAGAAATAGGGTCTTGCAGATGTCATTAAATTAAGATCAGGTCATACTGGTTTAGGGTGGGCCCAAAGTCCAATGACTGATGTCCTTATCAGAAGAAGAGGGGCATACAGTGATGGAGGCAGAGAGAGGAGTAATGCAGCTGCAAGCCAGAGCACACCAGACTGCCCAGAGCCACCAGAAACTAGAAAAGGAGCCACCCATTTGCTCTGGTAGTCCCACAAAATTCATACAGGAATACTAATACTCTGAGAGAATCCAATTCCTTAAATAGTACATGTCAATCATTTCTTCAATGACAAGGACCCAGTGGCCTTAGCATTGTGATCCGTGGGCAGTGATCAGTGATCCGTGGGCAGTGATGAACAGTGATCCGTGGGCAGAAAAACTGGATCCATCCTGGCTCCTTGGCCTTGGGCAAGTCACTTTAATCTCTAGGCATTTCCGCCACCCTGTTTATAAATGGGTATAATAACACTTGCCCTTCGTACTTAAGGCTTTTATATGAAGCTACAATGAAGCCACGTATGTAAAAGTGGTGTGTAATCTAACATAATTTACAATGGTTATTCTTTTTCAGTATCTTCATAAACTCTTCCAGGTCTTGGAAGTCACAGGGTCCTGGGTTTGAATCTCAGCTCTACCACTTACTCACCTCTAGACCTTGGACAACTCTGATTTCCATTTTTCTCATCTAAAAACTGGCAGTAAAACCACTTATCTCACAAGAGTGATGTCAGAGGGGTGAATAATATAGCACCTGTGAAAGCTTGGCTCAATACATTATCTGTTCTTTCTTTCATCTCTGTATCCCTCAAGGTGCCGGATGCTTCACTTGTATATAAGGTGTCCTAAAGGGAGTGTGCATGCCATGGATGTGGTGCCCCAGCCCCACATCCTCCCTCTTCCCAGCCTCCCTGAGGAAGGACACAAGATACAGGACAATATGACAGTGGAGAGAGGAGTAAATCCTTCCAGGGCACAAACAGATTAGGAGAAAGAGTGCCCCTCTGCAGCAGGCTCTGACATTCCAGCAAGCCTCTGGACTCCCCAGCCTCTGGGCACCCCCATGTTCCTTCCCACTACTGTGGCTTATAACTTCTGTTCCAAGGGGCCAAAAAAGAGGCAGGGGGAACTCACTGCTTAGAGCAACCCTATGAGGGTTGAAAGGCCCCCACCACCTCACAGGCTGGGTAGCCAAGTGTACCAGACAGGAACAGAGGAGGAAAGCCAGGAGGCAAGGCTGAGAGAGAATAAAGTATTAGACATCGAATGAAAGGCCAAAACTGTATAAGACACAGAAGGGTGAAGACCCGACCGTGAAGAAAGAAAACCTGTACTAAACTCAGCACTCTAGAGCCGTGTGCACAAGCAGAGGAATGTGAGTTAGCTGCAATCCCCCTCCCTCCCCTCAGTTTTCACTCTTTTCCCGGGTTTACCAAGGTTTGTCAAAATAGCAAGCTAGCAAACCAGACCACCTCAATGACAGAACTGTACTCTGCCTGGGTCTGGCATCACAAGAGTTGAATAGGTGTACAGATTTCTTCTATTAATTTATTCACAGAAACCCTGAGGTATTTGGGAGAATAATCTGCCCCAATACATGATGGTTACTATCAGAAATGACTAGAATGTAAGCATTTCTGACTGTACGATACAGAAAATCAATCTTCCAATTATAAAATGGGCAGAAGACATGAACAGACATTTCTCCAAAGAAGACATCCAGATGGCCAACACACACATGAAAAGATGCTCATCATCACTCATCATCAGGGAAATGCAAATCAAAATTACAATAAGGTATCGCCTCACACCTGTCAGAATGGCTAAAATCCACAACACAAGAATCAACAGGTGTTGGCGAGGATGTGGGGAAAGGGGAACACTCTTGCACTGTTAGTGGGAATGCCAACTGGCGCAGCCACTCTGGAAAACAAGTTCCTCAAAAAGTTAAAAATAGAACTTCCCTACAATCCAGCAATCGCACTACTAAGCATTTGCCCAAAGAAACAAGAACACTAGTTCAAAGGGATACATGCACCTCTATGTTTATCGGAGCATTATTTACAATAGTCAAGATATGGAAGCAGCCCAAGTGTCCATCAACTAATGAATGGATAAAGAATAAGTTGGATACATATATATAATGGAATATAACTCAACCATAGAAAAGAATGAAATCTTGGAGCACCTGGAGGCTCGGTCGGTTAGGCATCTGCCTTCAGCTCAGGTCATGATCTCCAGGTCCTGGGATGAAGCCCTGTTTTGGGCTCCCTGTTCAGCAGGGAGTTTGCTTCTCCCTCTGTCCCTCCCCCGCCCCCAGCTTGTGATCTCTCCCTGTCAAATAAATAAATAAAAATCTTTTAAAAAATAAAATTAAAAAAAATTTAAAAAGAATGAAATCTTGCCATTTATAACGACATGGATGGAACTACAGGATTATGCTAAGGGAAATAAGCCAGAGAAAGACAAATACCGTATGATTTCACTCACATGTGGCATTTAAGAAATAAAACAAGCAAAGGGGGGAAAAAATGAGAGACAAAGCAAGAAACAGACTCTTAACTACAGAGAACAAACTGATGGTTACCAGAGGGGAGGTAGGTGGGGGATGGGGGAAACGGGGGATGGGGATTAAGGAGTACACTTGTCAGGATGAGCAGAGGGTGATGTATGAAGTGTTGAATTGCTGTATTATACACCTGAAACTAATGTAACACTGTATGCTAACTAGAATTAAAAATAAAGACTTAACATAAAAAAATAAAAATAAATTTAAAAAGAATATCAATCTTCTCAGCATACAAACCACGGTTTGCATGGCACAAGTCTGCCTACTATTGATGAAAGGTCTAGTTTTCCAAAACATAAAGTTTTCCCTCTTCTCTTTCCTACTCTTTTCCCTTTTCTGTATTTTTTTAAGATTCATTTATTTATTAGACAGAGAGAGAACACAAGCAGGGGGAGCAGCAGGCAGAGGGAGAGAGAGAAGCAGGCTTCCCACCGAGCAGGGAGCCTGATGTGGGGCTCGATCCCAGGACCCTGGGATCATGACCTGAGCCAAAGGCAGACGCTTAACCGACTGAGCCACCCAGGAGTCCCCCTTTTCTGTATTTCTAAGGAAGAAGAAAGGAGTTCACCAGCAAGTCAAAGAAAATGAAAGTATTCATAGAACAGCCAGTGAACCAGCTCAGTGGTGCTGTCAAATGGAAAGCTTTTTCAGGACAGGTTGGTGGGTGGCCTGGACCAACCCCTAGGCAACCTCTTAAAGCTCTTAAAGGAAAAAGAGTACTCCCTTACCCTGCTCCCAAGCCAGTAAAAAGTTCTGACTTCCCTCTTTATATGCTTTTCCCTTTACTCTGCTTCTCATAGTCAGCAATCCATTTTCCAATCCCACCACGTTCTGAATCAGCATGCCAGAATGACCCAAAACACGACTGACCAGGAGCCCTCCCAGGAAGCACCAAGGGGACACTACATATACTTCCCCTTGAACTTGATTCAAACTCAAACTCTCAGTTCAACTTGTGGTTTGTCAGCCAAGGTATAAGAAGAGGGAGGGGGAACTGGGTCTCAACAGGCTCCTGGGAAAGCCCCTGCTGTTGGCTGAGTGTCTCCCCACCACAAACAGGCCACATGCTAAAAAGAGGCATTGAGTCCCTCCAGAAAGAAAAAGGAATCGTACGTACGGTGATCTTGCTGGCTTGGTTCAGGGCTTCCACCCAGTCCTTCAGATCCTTCTGGTCATTAGCTTGAAGAAAATACCTCTGAGAGAGGGCATTGATGACTGCAGTAGTCATGGGGGGAAGAAAAGAGAAAAATCCAGGTCAGAACACATGCAAGACAAAAAGTCGCCACAAAACTAAGGTGCTTGAAGTAGCAAGGGGGAGAACCTCACAGAGCACTGAAGACATCTGCCATGATGCAGTCAGCTGCATGAATATCTGGGAAGCAGCAGGCTATAGTTGCTCTCTCTTTAAAAATGTGAATTATTCCATTAGCCACGAGAACAACACCTGTTCATGTTTTAAAACCACCCCCTTCATGTGCTGTTGTACAGGGATGAGGCTTCTAGTCCGCCCGCCATCAACAAGACACAAGCTTGAACTGTTTTTAGAGGCGCTAGCCGATTTAGAGTCATGATGATACAGATATAATTTTGGACCCAGTGCTCCTTGTTTCCACTGGCACAACTGGCCTGGCTTGGGAGTCTTCCCTGTGGTCGGAAAATGGAACAAAGCTTGCCTGAGATCAAATCTGTGACCCTGACCTCATTCCCAACCTGTTCTTTCCTCTGAGCACTCCATGAGGTCAATCATTTTACTTCTGGGTTCATTACTTATCTTGTTTAGATCTGCTGACCACAAAATCTGAGATAGTCATTTCTGAGCTTAGCAACGATATTTGAAAGAAATGGGACAACGAGAACACCAGAGAAGCCTGAACCAACCCAAAGTCGGAAGAGAAGACAGCTCAAGTGACCATTTTATTCTCCTAGCAAAAATAAGCCAGAACTATAGGAGGCGAGCATCACGGGGTAGACACAGAATTCATGAGTTCATTCGCTCATTCAGCAAATATTACTGAGCATCCACTATATGCCAGGAACCACGGTACAAGTTGGGGATACAGCAGTGACAAAACAAAGGGACAGCCTTGCTTCACGGGGCTGACATGCAGGACCACCCTAGATAAACAAGAGAGGCTACTCGTTAGCATCTGCTTGTAGCACTTAGCACATTCCTGAGAACACAGTAGGAGCCAAATACCAACTGGTGACTTAATGAGTAGGGACATCCACTGAGTGACCCTGCTTCCTGTGTCACTCCCAACTCTGGCACTCATGTGGCCATGCTGAGATGCTCAACAGGATACTCCTTTTCTATTGTTCCACCTTTCCTGAGCGTCTGAGAGGGGGTTCCCAGAAACTACCAGAAGATACCCTGGACCCTGACCTGCGGAGTCAGGAAAACAGAACCGTCGCTTGTCCCCGTACCTCCGTCTTACAGTTTTAACTATCTTCGCAGCGAGACCAAGGAAAGCTAGGTCCGTGGCTATGACCGAAGTCACGCCCACACACAGGGGGCAAGTCACATGGGATCACAGGACTGTCTGCGCACAAAGAGGAAGCTGCTGCAGGAGTGTTCAGAAAACCCAGTCCCCAGTTCGGTACTTACCAAAGCAAAATGGAGTTTTGGGTTTCTGCTTCGGAGTAGCTATGCTCACCTAAACCAAATAAAAAATAAAAGAAACAAGAACATGTTTCTAAGACGGTTGTAAAGCACTTTTTTTTTTTTTTTTTTTGCTGTGAAACTTTCCGCACAAAGAAGAGTATATAAAACATACATAAACATTCTAAAGAATAAAAATTAAGGGTGCCTGGGTGGCTCAGTTGGTTAAGCGACTGCCTTCGGCTCAGGTCATGATCCTGGAGTCCCAGGATCGAGTCCCGCATCGGGCTCCCTGCTCAGCAGGGAGTCTGCTTCTCCCTCTGACCCTCCTCCCTCTCATGCTCTATCTCATTCTCTATCTCTCAAATAAATAAAATCTTTAAAAAAATAAATAAATAAATAAAAATTAAGTAGAAACCCTGTACTCACCATTCAGATTAAGAAATAGGCCATTATCAGTGCTATCTCTTAGAAGCCCTTGTGTACCCCTCCCTGATAGAATCCCATCCCCACCCCTCAAGGGATAACCACTACCTTGCCATCTACCTTAATCTTCATCTTTGCAAAAACACTTTGAAAAGCCACCCAAGGGGCACCTGGGTGGCTCGGTCATTAAGCGCCTGCCTTCGGCTCAGGTCATGATCCCAGGGTCCTGGGATCGAGCCCCGCATCGCATCGGGCTCCCTGCTCAGCAAGAAGCCTGCTTCTCCCTCTCCCACTCCCCCTGCTTGTGTTCCCTCTCTTGCTGTCTCTCTCTCTGTCAAATAAGTAAATAAAATCTTTTAAAAAAAAAAAAAACTACCCAGTCCGACAAAATTCTCTTTGGACCACACAACCCATACTTGGCCCATTCACACTAGGAAGATTCCACTCCTCTCTCAACCACTGACCCCTTCCCTAAACAGTTCACCAAATTAAAGGTGGTATGGCTACAAATACACAGATTCCAATTAGAGCTCACAGAAAGGTCAGGCAGCATGCATTTGGACACATGGATCAATGTCCTTTATATGTACCCTGACTGCTTAAACCTGAAAATAAGAGGGGGCCCAAGGAATCAGAGCATACCTATGCATTTAAGGGAAGGGAACAGAAGAAAGCAGGAATATTTTTATAGCTCCTGTTGTATTTCATTTTGTTTTTTTCAATCCTACCCCTTGCGTGTACACTCCTGACTATGTACATAGGTGAATCTACTTCACTCTGATACAAACATGCTGAATGAATAAAGGAAAACAAATCATATTCCCTCATATGCCAAGAGGTGACTACCCTTGATGGAGTTAAGTTGAACTCCCTGGAACAGGCCTCCACCACTTTACCTGGGATTGCTAAGGAGGCACCCCCAAGACCCTAGGTTAGGAAATATTCCCCACATTGTCATAATCCTCCTGTGGACAACATTCTCTCAGTCCCCTTTCTCACATAAGTAGGAGAAGGCCCTACTTATGTGAGACCTGAAAAAAATGCCTGCTCTCCAACATACAAAATGAACATAGCATAGTCAACATCAATAAATAAATCATTAAATGTCTACATAACATTATATCAACCTCTTCGATAAGGATTTTAAGTGCCTACAAGATGTCACATTAAGTCGACTTCATTAATGTTTTGATTAAACAATCACAAAAATCTCATTACATATGAAAAAATTAGTAGCTTTGATTTTCCTAGTTTACAAGAATCCTTGGATATGCAAGATGATTGCCGAGAAATATAGCCAATCACGAATCAAATGAGTGACCCAACCAAATCATTCCAAAAGTAAGATGACTGAAATCCTTTCGAATATTTTTTTTTATTTTTATTATGTTACGTTAGAATATTTTATAGCCAATTCTATTTAATGAGGGATATGGTTATATTCTGATATGTTCACCATGATGTGAGATGGAGGCCTTTAGGGCCTAATGAAAGCCTTTACACAGTCCTGAAAAACATAAAAATTCAGGCAAAGGTGAGCCCACCTATCCTGAGTTCAGTCACAGACTATCTAAATTCAGGCATGTCTTCACCACTCCCAGAAACCACTCCCCAGAGCTCCATGACTTCATTAAGTCCGGGCCCCTGTGCTACCTTGTTTCTTGGGTTTGGGATCCTGGGATTCCATCTGCACCACAGCATATGCCTTTATCTTGCTTGTGTGTGATGTCCTGATCTGTCAGTGACTCATTTTCTTGCTCTTTCCCTCGGCACCCATGTTCCTCCTGCAGGTCCCTTGTGCCCACAACACCTGCATGGCCTACCCTCGGTTCCTGTGTAGCCCTGACCAGCAGAGAGCAGCCTGGCCCTCAGAACCCACCTATCTCACGGCTTCCTTCCTACTGCAAGCTTTAGAATGGCTTTAAAAAGCTGGGCACTTTGAGACCCTCACTGGCTTATTAGAAGACTCACCCCTTTCTCCCAGAAAATGACATTTATCACTGACCAGAGAAAGCACCACTGGCTTTTCACCAGGTTGGATGACAAATGGTCCACGTTGACCACAACTTATTAGCAACCTATACTGAGGGAATGCTACCGGCATGCTTATTACAACAACTGAACCTAAGCGATCACCTGGCTTTTCATTTGTTTTTATAGGTTTTTCCAGTTTTCAGTCAGGGGACATGGGTGGTTACATGCATGCACATCCATAATTTGCCTCATGCCTAACCACAGAAGGATTATTTGGCAAAGCAGCTAGCTCCTTGCTGAATCAACCAGACATCAGTCCTAGTTCTGCCCTGTAGGCCGTTTAGCAAGAGTAAGACCCTCAGTGTCTCTGATCAGCTTCCCAATTAGCAAAGCCAGAGAGCAATTACTAGTTTCCTTCTTATCGTCACAGAATATGGCAAAAGAGAAAAATGAAGTCCTATCTACCTGTGCTGTGTCCCTCAGGGAGAAGGGCCGAGGTACGGGCCTCATTTACTATGGAAAGATAGCTCTGGCCTCCTCCTGATATCCTGGGGACCTCAGCAGCAGAATCCCTCCTCCCCTGGGAGGTATAAGTCCTCTGGCCTCCACCCCACCTCACGCTGGTGATCAGACCAGACTGTGCAGCCTCCTTCAGATGTAGTGAAGGAACAGAGGATCCTGAAAAAGTATGGCTCACAGACCAGCTATAGTGAGGGCGGCCAAGTGCTACCATCTGCCTGCCCCGAGGTGGCCACAGTTAAGTAGCTGCGTAGCAGTGGTTGACTGCTGGGTCCCGGGTTATGCAAGCAATGAGAGGAGGTCAGGATGTGAGGGGCGGAATGGGCACGGGTCACCATAGAGTGACGCAGACAAGGCCACTCGACAGCTCAACAGACTCTCAGGAACTTGCTCTTATCAGATCAAACACAGACCACAGGAGCAGCAAACTCCTCGGTCACAGGGCACTGCTAGCCAGCCCCATCCTGTCTGCCCCTGGCCGGAAGTGGAGCTGGGGCCCCTCTGGCAGAAGCTGCAGCAGCAGAATAAGGTCTTGAAGCTCTGGGGTAGCTCTACCTCAGTGTCCGGGGTGCCCCTGCCCCATGAGGTGGCATCAAAAGCGGAGGAAGCAGCAATCAGTTACACAGAATGACTGGAAGGGTTCTAAGCAGTGGTCTCTAGACCAGCTTCATGAGGTCAATTAGCCCTGACATTATAGGCAAAACCAGGGTGCTGTAGACACATATATACTTTACCTGGAAAAGGAGCCCGTGCTCTTCATCCAACACTCAAAAGGATCAGTGACCACCACCGATCTCCCCCACCACCACCACCACCACCACCACCACCACAAGCGGTTAAGAACCAGTGTTCTAGGAAGGTCTTCCTTATAACTAACCGAGGGCAAGGCCCTGACAGGGCAGGACACAGCCGGGGGTGGGACACTGGGGCTTGCTGTATAGAAGAGAAGAGCCATCAGGCGAGGTGGGAAGGTGGTGGCACCAAGCCCACCTTCCATGAGAACCCAAACCTGGTTCTGCTGCCATCAATGCCCTGGAGGACATCAAGTCAAGGATTTTCATCTCTGTTGGCCTTTCTGAAGGAACTCAGTGTCCCAACACTAGCCCTCAAGAAGGAGCTATGGAGCAGCACCCCTGAGCAGGGACCACACATACACTGCGAGCCAGGTCGACACTGGGGTGAAACGCTTTACCCTGGGAGGGACTACCCAGGGGTTAACAAGAAATAAGCTGGAATGCTGAATTTGATGCCAGTAGCACTGCTAAATGTGTTTCTGGGAAAACCCCTGCTTTCTGGCACTGGGTCAGGTAGGAGTTAAAGGCTCTCCACTCCGTGTAACCTGATCCTGGGGCAGCTGTGGGCTTTGCAGAAACACCCACCTGGGTCTGCATCTCCCGAGAAGGGCCAAAAGGCAGGACCATCCTTCCTAAATGAGGCAGCCTCCAAAGCTGAGAATTCTAAAAATCCTCATCTGAGCTGCATTTATAAATCACGATTCAGCAGGAGATGGTATTCACTCTTCCCCGAAGTCTCCCAAACCCTCTCCAATAGGAGAAGGTTTGGAGTTTCACTAATAATGAGGTTCTCTGCTCCCCCTCTCCGATTCTGTTCCTCCAAACCTCCTGGAGGAAGACCTCATGAGCCCACAGCAAGACCAGACAGGAGAGGGGAAGGCCCAGGCCTCTGGCCTGCCTGGCCCCAGAGGCAGCCACATCTCTTACCGCAAGGCCAGCACAAATTGCCCACAGCTGTGCTAGCAAAGCTTCGCTCTAAGCCCAGCCCCATCCCCGCCGAGGTCATGATCTCCTCTCTCTAATCCGCTCAAACCCTGCCCTGCGTTTTCTGCCTCGGTGCCCAGCTGTGTCTGCCAGCCACTGCCTGCAGCCCCTGCAGCCGCCTCCACCTCCGACTCTCCCCCGCCCCCACTCCGGCCAGGCGCAATGGGAGGCTGGACACAAGGGTTCCCAAAGCTCGCAAGGCCAAGGAGCCAGTGGTCCCTCAGATCAGGGTCTCCCCACCTTGTCTCAACCCCTGAGGGAGGGACAGCGTGGGCAAGGAAGCAGAGATCCCCAAGAGGCCTGAAGTGAGGGGTATGTGGGGAGAGCAGGGCTTCCGGAATCTTCGTGCTGGCTGGGCGCCACCTGGCTCTTCTCGCTGGACGAAGAGTTCCTCTTTCTGGCGGGGCTCTAAATCCCCGGCCCTTTTTTTTTTTTTTATCTCTGCTGCATCACAGGTCAGCACTGGAGCCTGCTCCAGGGAGGGGCCGCTACAAGAAGCTAAATTCAGCAGCTACGTATGGGCATCATCAACCAGCCCACCACCGCTGCCGCCGCCGCCCCCCGCCCCCGGGTCTCAGCTCCGAAGAGGGACTGCTCTTGCCCTGTCTGCACTAATCGGACCAGGGACAGCCTGTCAGCCCACCTGCCAGGCTCTCCAGCCATCATCCGGCTGCTGAATAGTTCCCTGGCACAACTGAGGGCCTTCCCGGCGCTCTCCTAGCCTTTCCTCCACAGTCATCCTGTCCAGGTGATAGATAATCCAGCGCAGCCCCGACCCTTTCTGAGCCGCTCCTGTTGAACAATACCCCTTGGGAGAATCTTCTATAGTCATTGGGTTTTTACAGTTGTTTTGTACTCCTTTTTGCCTCAATGACGAAAAAAGGTCACGCCCAACTCCTACCCCCACCACCTATGCCTCCTTGGCAGGAGCGGGGAGCATCACTAACTGATGTGTCCCAGGGGTAAGAGGCTTCAGGCTCACCCTCCAAGAACCTGTTAAACACACTCCACCCAGTGCCGGTCAACAGCAAAGCTTCCAAAGGGAGGACGGGGAGCACTTCACTGCCCATGCAACACATCCAAATGCTAATACTCAAAGAATTTGACAGTTCTCGTTTAGATACTAAACCCACTTAGGGGACGCGAATCCTCAGAGCTCCAGGCGAACATTACCTTCGAGATGTAGGTCAGCTGCAAAGATCCAACGGCTCCTGCCCCCATTGCCAGGTTCTGAAAGACATATGTTTTTCATTTTAAGAAGCATAATGCTATGTGAGGCAGTGGAAACAGCACTAAGAGACAGAAGACCAAGACTCTAGTCCTGGCTTTGCAACCTTGAGCAAGCCACTTACCCACATTCTTTAGTTCACTTTCCTCCGTGAAACGGTGATAACCTGCCATGGCTTTGTTGGCATGGACCTTATCCCTGGCCTTACTTACTAGGGAGGGGTGTGTTCTAGGACGGTGGTAAAAAGTGTGAGCTCCACCATTTGACAGTGAATAAATTCCTTAACCACTAAGCCTCAGTTTCCCTTTCTGTAAAAAATAGGGATAATAACCGTACCTACCTCACAAGGCACCTATAGGATGAGCTAATACATCTAAGGGCACTTGGAGTCATCCCTGGTACATAGAGGACTCTCAACAAGTATTAGCTATTATATTTTTTCTTTCCTGACAGCTCTGGCCTCCTTATTGGCTTGGTCCTGCTTTATGCCGCTTCAAATTCTTTTTGTAATTAACAGGGTTCTGATTCACACAATACAGAAATAAAAAAAATAAAGCTGTTCAGTTTATTTCACAAGATTATTATGAGTACCAGCTGGGATGATGTCTGTACACCATAAAACACTAAGTCAATGTTCTATTAAAACAGCAAGAAACTCACAGGCACCTCGTCGGGCAATATTCTTTGGCTTTCTAATTTCTCCACTGTCAGAAACGGAGCAATGAAGACACACGGATGATAGCATACCAAAGAAATGAACAAGATTAGAAACCTCAGCTGTGGAGTTATTTATAAATTAGAAAATCCACTCCCCCATGGACCTTGAGAACCTGTCCACAGTCCTGGTGCCCCTTAAGCTGTTGCATAAGCCTCTAAGAATAACCTTGAAGCCCCCAGTTACCTGGGGTTATCTCAAAGCAATAAGGGAGATGAATCTTGAATAATGAGAATTTAGTAAATTTCCTAAAGGGTTAGCAGTGAAATGACCTGTCATTCCAGGAGACTGCCCTTAAGAAGTATCTTAGTCGTTGGGCGCCTGGGTGGCTCAGTTGGTTAAGCGACTGCCTCCGGCTCAGGTCATGATCCTGGAGTCCCGGGATCAAGTCCCGCATCGGGCTCCCTGCTCGACAGGGAGTCTGCTTCTCCCTCTGACCCTCCCCCCTCTCATGTGCTCTCTCTCATTCTCTCTAATAAGTAAGTAAAATCTTAAAAAAAAAAAAAAAAAGAAGTATCTTAGTCGGTAGGGAAGAGCCCTTCTAGGCCCAGTTGTCTAAATTAACATACATCACTTGAAGCAAATGCAATATGTGAAATTTTCTATACACGAGAAAATGGATGGGGATACCACGATAAAAGGATTCTCAGAGCCCTTAAATTGTAGAGTAAGAAATTCAGAAAGGATGTTGCCCCCCTACCCCCCCTTTTCTTTTTAACAAAATGAGGCCATAAATCTAAATGCTGCCTTCGAGAAGCCAGATTAGCATTTCAAATATGGATGATCGGATTTACACATTTTTTTCAAATATACAGTGATTGCATTTTGTTGACTTTTAAGGAAACCTCTTTCAGGTAAAGAGAGATAGGCTCTGTGCCCCTAAATCAGAGTCCACAAAGGAGCCACAGGCACCCCAAAAGCAACCACTGAGCAACCAACACTGCCCCCAGGACAACGCAAACTGCTCTGGGCAGACAGCTCTGCACACAGTACGGCTGCCTGTAAGGACACACACGACCACCGGCCTGTCGGACCGCTGAGCACCTGGCCCACTCCCAGCCCCCATTTGGAACTGGAGGAAAGGGAAGGGATTGGTCCAAAGTCACATAACTGGTGGAAGAACCTGAACTATAAAGCTCAGGCTGCCTGACTTCAACCCAATGCCCCAAAAGCAGCATGATAAAATCTTAAAAGCTTGAGCTGTTGGAATTCTATCTGTGACATTATCGCCACATGACTGTAGGCAAGTTTCTTTACCTATAAAAGGGGGGGACAGTAAACCCTGTTTCACAGGCTTGTTGTGAGAATTACATGAAAATCCGTAAGGAGAGCCTAGCCCATGGTAGCTCCGCTCCCCGACCCACAACACTAATTACAAGATGCAGACGCCAAGTCTCAGGGCTTGGTCTTGCACAACTCACTCTCATCACCCCAAACCACAGCCCAAAGGCCTCCAGAGCCCTATCTGGAATTATGAGTGATGAAGTGGGATTTGGGGAACCATTCAGACACTGACCCACACATAATGACAGATATGAGCCGATCAGATTTCAACTATTTCATCCCCTCCACCCTCCAGGGCTGCTCCACCCTCGGTCCCCTGCCCCCCTTCAGCTCTCCCGCTCCAGAAAGACACAGGAGCGGTTCTCCTGCCCGGTTACCTCGGGGCAGGGGCGCCTTCACCTCCCTAACCCACCACCCACCCCACAGTCTGCTCCTAGGCTCACATGTACCTCCCTCGCCACCCTGAGAAGCCAGGAAAATATGACGAATGTCTGTAAATGCCAGGGGCGGGGGGGAGGAATGAATGACAGGAGAAAACAGCCCCAGGATCCCTGAGCCTTGATCCAGAGTGACGGCTCGGTGTCCACTCCAATTACTGGACCTGGGAGATTAATGGTGACAGCTCTCTGCCAGGGTGGCAGCCCCAGGCAGAAACTTCCTGGTCAAGGAAGAATGTACCAACATGTCTGAGCTGAGGACCTTGGCAGCCAGTCGTCAGGCCAGGAACGCCAAGAAACAGCACCTGGGGTGGGGCAGGGTGTCAAAGCTGCCTCCCCAGGACGTGGCCCCGTCCCTTCCAGGGAAAGCACAAGAGGATCCACCTTCACAAAGCTTCTCCAGCCTGCAGTCTGTTCCTGAGCTCTCCCCTCTCTGAATTCCTGTGCACCAATCCTTCTCCAGCTGTGGTGCACATCACACTCTCCTGGGGAGCTTGTTTGAAAAGGCCCAGGCTCAAGCCTCACCCGAAAAAAACACTGAATCAGAGTCAAATGGAATGTGGTCAGAACATGCACATTTTTTAAATGTTCCCAAGTGATCCCTACACAGGCCCAAGGCTGAGAACAACTGATCTACATGACAAAATCTAGCCCTCGACTCTATATTCGAGCATATTTTTCTGCGAATTTAAGTGTCTTCTTACTAGATTTTAAGCACATGGAGGACATGAGTAGAATCTTATTCCTCTACATAGCAGACTCCTCAATTTTTATTTACTCATTATTAATTTTTAAAGATTTATTTATTGGTTTATTTATTTTGAGAGAGAGAGAGAGAGAATGCACAAGTGCACAAGCTGGGGGCACGGGGGGGGGCGGTGGGGACCGAGGGAGGAGAGAGAGAATCCCAAGCAGACTCCCTGCTGAGCACAAAGGGCTATGCAGGGCTCCATCCCAGGACCCCGAGCTCATGATGGGAACAGAATTCAAGAGTCAGACGCTTAACCAACTGAGCCACACAGGCGCCCCTGGACGCCTCAATTTTTAAGCAAAAACACTACTTGCTTGGTGGTTAAGTTCCCAAACTAGTCCCTAAAAGCCTGCTACACTCAGTACCAAAGACCTCCCATCCACCTTTGGCGGACAATGTTTCTTTGGAAAGACTTGTTCATGTTTTGAACTGGGCTGTCACTTGAGTTTGCAGTTTCCATGACCCCAGGCAGGGTTCCTGAGGGACAGGAATCGGGTGGAAGGGGCATAAAAGGACCGAGCCCCAACAACAAGAGGGTCAAAGGAAGCATCTGAAATGAGAGCATCTGAGCGGATGGGGAGTGAAGACAGGCTGGTGGGAAGGCTGCTTATGGGAACCACCTGCAGATATTTTTAAACAAACTAATACCCACGCCTCATTCCCAGGGTTTTAACTGATCTGGGGTAGGGCCCATGCACCTGTATGTTTTTCAAGCACCCCAGTGATTCCACGGTGCTGCCCATTTTGAGGACCACTGCTGCACACACGGGCTGGTCCTGCTGACTCCGCACTGGAGATGCAGCAGCTGGTGAGAAAGCCACGCCCAGCGGCAGCCCACAGGGTGACCTTGGTTGCTGCACCAGCAATAAACAGAGAGGAAGGGCAGGGCAGCGGGAAAGGGGATTCCAGTGCCACGCATGGCTGGCAGCCAGTGGACGTGAGGATGTCTGTAAGTCAGAAGCATTCTCAATTTTCCAAAACACTGTAGGGCACAGGGCAGGTTCCCATTAAATGACTGACAGTTTTTACGAAGACACTGCCAACACCTTGCTTCTTGCTCAAGTGTTCTTCTGCCACCAAGGGCCTCAAAGAAGCTCCCGCTCCCCATGAGTGGAAAGCGGAGAGTTTATTCTTCTCCATCACCAAGGAAGGAGCTGAGAGGCCCACACAGAGATGTGACAAACCTCCCGTAGTAAGCCTTTTCCAGATGCAACATTATCTCTTGTTTCGAAATAGAAAATTTTACCCTAGGAGTGTCTCCTACTCCCTTTTCCCATCTTCTAGTAAGAGTAACAAGGAGCGCAGAAATGACTAACTACAGAGTCATAAATTCACAGAGCAACACCACTAAAGGGTTCTGGTGATCCCTCATCATTTGCCACATGAGTCCTCTAAGGCTCAAGGTGGGGAAATGACTTCCTCAGGGAGCCGAATAGAGATAGAGCTTGTAACTCCCACCATCAATCTAGTGCTTCGGCAAAGCACAGCTTGAGGAAGGAAAAAGGAAACTGACGTATATTTAGAGTTAATTTGCACCAGGCCTGCCTGCTAGGTACTCTGGGTACTCCTGCACATTGTCACTTAATCCTAACAATCCCATTTTACAGATGAAGAAACTAAGGACTGAGCAGGTAAAGCAAGCCCAAGGTCACACACGCAGTGAGCAGTCAGGCCAGTATTCAAACCCAACCCTTCCTGATTCCCCAGTCTCACGCGCTTTCCCTCTACGCCATGCCACCTCCCGTGAGACAATCCTTCAAATGTACAAGGACCTGCTCATTATCTAAGAGTTGATTATCAATGAAAGGTAAATAC